ATCATCATCATCATCATCATCATCATCATCATCCTGCCTGCCTGCCTGCCTGCCTGGTGAAGTCAGGCAGAGTGGATGTGCTTCAGGTCCCTTCAATTAAACAATGTCATCTCACAGGGCCCAGGAAGTGGGCCTTCTCCGTTGGCAGCCCCTGCCTCCTGGAATGACATTCCCCTGTATTGCTCCCATATTGCTTGCATCTTAATGACTTTCCAAAAACGATTAAAAATCTGGTTGTTCTCCCAGGCCTTGAGATAGGGAGGTTATGGCTTTGGTTCTTCGAGTGTTGAGTTAGGCTTCTGGTTGGTTGTGTTTTCTTTTGACATATGTTGCTTTTTCTCTTCTCACTGTAAGCCACTCAGAGTCATTAAGGAGTTGGGCAGCCTCAAAATCAAAATAAATAGCAACCATAGCAAACCTAACATTGACGCAATGCTGGCTTACTTAGGAATAGGTCTTATCAACTCAACAATGAAAATAACTCCCTTTGAGGTCGTTTCAGCTGCTTGTGAGTGGGTTCAGTTGACAGCTTGCAGCTAGCTTCCCCAAAGTTTGGTTGGCAACTCCGGCAGGTATCACTCCTTCATCATCACCTTCATCTCTTCCTCCCAGTGGTTGGCACTCAGCACTATTGTTTTGATGTTCTTCACATCCTCTGACCTTCTTAAGGTCTGCTGGAACTTACAGATACTGATTTTTGGCCCCTGATGATTTTCCCTCTCCAAGCTGTTGCAAAATCTTTTGGCAGTAATGATGTCGCCTTGTGTAAAGAAGCATTCCCCCCCGCCCCCAGTGTTCTCAGACTCATGCCAAAGGAAGTTAACAGTTTCTTATATGATTTTGTTCCCTTCCAGGTATTGGCTGACAAACAAAGTGTACATCAAGCGCCCAACCACTGGCTTATTGATGTATACCCTGGCAACTCGCTTCTGCAACCGGATTTACCTCTATGGTTTCTGGCCATTTCCCCAGGGCCCAGACCAAAACCCTGTGAAGTACCACTACTACGACAGCCTGAAATATGGCTACATGTCCCAGGCCAGTCCTCACACCATGCCCTTGGAATTCAAAGCGTTGAAGGTCTTGCACCACCAGGGAGCCTTAAAACTCACCGTTGGGCCCTGCGACGGAGCCACGTAAAAAGAGGCTTCTGGCAAGCCACTTTCCTGGAGGCTGTGCCCCATGGGAGGATTGGGGAGGGGAGGCCGGGAGGAGTGGTAGGTGGTGAGGTGGGTTTTCTTGGTTTGGGAGAAGAGCACGACATGGCCGTAAGGGCTCTGCGTTGAAGTGGACCCAGCATTTGGTGCAAGGAACAGAAGAGCTGGGGAAGAACCCTAAGAGAAGGTGGCCTTTGTCGTTCCCAGGCCTGGAAGCCACTGTGATTTGTATGGGTACTTTAGTGTGACAACTCAGTGTTAGGCCAGATGTTGTGCGTGGTCTAGAAGTGATAGATAGGGCCGGTTTGGCTAAGAAAGCCGGGCTTTCCCCGGTTTGTGTTGTGTTCTTGGCTTAGTGGATGTAGGGGTAGGGATTAAACCTTAGAGATGCTGTTTTTCAAGCAGGGCGGGACCACAGCAGAGACCCTGCAGGTCAGTTCTCAAAAGGCTTCTGGCCAAGGAGAGGTTAACCTTGCTATATGGAGCTTTTCTCAACGGGGCCACCAGCCGCGCCCATTCAGAAAACAGCGGAGCGCCCGCACACAGCTGGCTCAGACAAAGCCAACCCAAGATCCTCAGACACAAGAGGATTGGCATTTCTGACATTTCCACTGGAAGAGAAAATGTCAGCCCATTGATAGGACAGTGAGACTGGTCATTTTTTAAAAATAAGAGATGGAAGTGGACTTCAAAGGGGGGGGCGCCGTTTTGTTTCCTGCTGTGGTTTCCCCCTTCCTTGGTAGAGAAGCCCCTTTCAGCGGTACTAAATAAGCGATGCCAATCTGGGGCATCCACTGGGCTGGGGTCAAAAAAGTCAGAGGGCAGCCACAATTGTGCAATCCAAGGCCCGCTCCTTTTTTTACATGCTAAGCCCTGATGCCAATTGAAGGAAGGAACTGGCATTCAGGGTTTCAGTTTGTAAAAGCGAATTCACAGGCTGGATTTTTTTTTTTTTTTTTTTTTTCCAAAAACTGTTTTATTGTGCTTTAGCAGATTTGTTAATAAACCCAATTTTAAGTCACTGTAGCAATCTGTGCCTTCATTATTTGAGCCTGGCTTTCACAAACAGCAGATGAGAAATCAGTCTGAGGTTGGAACCGTACCTCATCCCTGCACACAAAAAGCTTGCAGATCCAGGGGAAATCAAAGTAACATGTTTTACACACTGTGCAGGAGGGGAGTGATCTTCATCAAGACACAGCAAATCCGAAAGGGAAGTTTAATCCATCCCTTGCCATCTTCAGTTCCTCTCCTCCTCCCCAGAAATCCTCCCCAGAGCACTTAGTGTGATTGTTACTTTGGTGGCACACACCAAACACGCATGGCAAAGTCAGAAATCTGTGTCCTTGCAAATGTGGTTGGACCACATTGCCTGTCATCCTTCATCATTGACTATGTTGGCTAGGACTGGTGGAATTGGAGTCCAATGATACTGCAGCAGTTGGGGGGATGATACATTCTTTGGTTCTGCTGGTGGGCATCTGACTAGATACCAAAAAAGATGCAATTCTTTGGCATCTGAGCAGATGCCACCCCCCCCCCCAAAAGGGATCATGAATGCTAAATGGTTGAGTAGAAGAAGCCATTTCAGAAGATGCCATCGTGGACAGATGAACATGTGAAGGCTACTGGACCAAATTCATTATCATCTTCAACTGGAAAGAGCTTTCCAAGGTGTGGGAAGATTATTTTCCACATTCTGTCCCAGCTTTTCCAGGTTCAGGACCATCTTTATGACTTAAAATGGTAGAATTCCCAGCATGTATGGGCAAAGCCAAAAGCAGGAGAGAGAGGTTGCTCTAATCTGCCTTTATGTTTGCTCTTATCCGATCGGTCTGTGCCAAGAGACAATTTAGATGTTAGTGCAATCAAAGCCAAACTAATCAGAGCTGGGAATGATTGCAAAACAAAGCAGAACAAAAACTGAAAATTCTGATGCAAAGTGACCTCCTCCTTACCTCCTTAACTAAAACAGAGAGAATTCTGTTTCCCATTGGAATGTTTGCATGGGCAAAAAAATTAAGATATTAAATACATTTAAAATGAGAGCTGACAGGTGTTTCACCTGCCCTCCATGATAAAGCTTTTCAGGGATTTTATTCTCTCAGTCACTGCCACCACCAGCACCCCATTTAAAATGTGCATTTTGAAAGTTGGCATGTTTATTTCTACAGACATTATCTTTAGTAATGCACTTTCCAAGAGACCCTACATTTAGAAATACGTGTTTTGAGGTCTTCTGCCTCTTCCTTATTTTAAAATAATTTTTACCAAGAGTTTTAGCAAGAGTAAGACCTAATACAAACTAAAGTAGAACAAGAAAGAAGAAAGGGAGAAATAAGAAAAAGTTAAAAGTACAAAAAAGAAAAAAGTAAGAGCAAAGGAAAGCAGAAGGAAAAAAAAGTAGAAAGAAGAAGAAATAAATATATATATATAAAGTGGCTTCTGATCTTCTTCACAACAGTAAAATTATATCTTAATCTCTAAGGTTACAGAGTCTTATAGAAAGACTCTCTTCTTTCTATAATCTATCCTGTCTAATCATCAAAACCATAAATCACAAATTCATTTTTTTGTGCAAAAAGTCCATAAGGGGTTTCAAGTCACCGATAAATGTAGATATTGTCTTTTTTCTAATCAAGTCAGTTTAGCCATTTCAGCAAGTTCTGTCATCTTCACCAACTATTCCTCCATTGTAGGTATTGCCAAATCTTTCCATCTTTCTACATACAATAATCTTGCTGCAGTTATCATATATAAAAACAGTGTTCCATGGCTCTTTTCTGTCTATACATCAGTCCCAGGAGGTAAAGTTCTGGTTTCAATTGAATGTTAATCTTTAAAATCCTCTGAATCACTATGTATTTGAGCCTAAAATTTTATAGCTACTTTACACATCCACCAAACATAATAAAATGACCCTTCTTGTTTACATTTCTAACATAAATTTGAAGTACCTTTATACATTGTAGAGGATTTTTCTGATGTCATATACCAACAGTACATCATTTTATAGAAATTCTCCTTAAGATTATAACATAATGTAAATTTCAGTCTTTTCAACCACATATTTTCCCATTGTTCCATCTGTATGTTATAACCAAAATTTTAGCCCATTTTATCATACATTCTTTGTCCTGTTCTTCTATTTCAAATTTCAGTAGAAGCTTATACATTTAACAATGACATGTTCATCATTTGTACACAATTCTGTTTCAAATTCTGTCTTACATTGTTCATACCATGAATTCTTTTATCTACTTTAAATCTTTCTGATAACTGTAAGTAAGAAAACCATTGACAGCTATGTCTCTTTGCCATCAATTGTTCTCTTGATTATATTTTAGATTCCCCTTGAGTCTTCTGCCTCTTTTCCTGATATAATGAATCTTCCCAAAGGGAAAAGATATAAGAGATATTAAGTTTCATCTTTAGTGATATAGATTTTTATGGACTTTATCTCCTCCAGCAGTGGGATGGGAGAGATATATTGCATGCCAAAACTCCTCCCCAACCCCGAAATCCCACTCCTTGTACAAGAAAAATGGCTTGATTTAGAAAAAGCTATAGAGCTTGAATTTGCTGTGAATGGCTGAAGTGCCTCCTAACCTTGGTTGAAAGATGCCTTCCTAACCAGCTGTTAGGGACATCTCTGTTGATGCACCTGTTTTCTTATCCCAAGCGCATAGCTGAGACTTAGCTGTCTTTGGATTTTTCTGATCCAGGGTGGAAGTTTTCCCTCTTCTCCTGGCACAAGCCTTGCTATTTGCATGATTAATGCAACCACGATGATGACATAATAGGGGCCGCCAGCTGCTCAGCTCCATTTGGCTTCTTCTCTAACTTTCTCAGATGCTTTGGTTTGTCCTGGCTGACTGATGCCACCCACAGGAGAGAAACAGCAGTGCCCTGATCACTAGAAAAAGCCATAGATCAAGGTCACTCTAGAACCATCTGTAAGAATGGTTCTGGTCTACAGCTTTCTCTAGTGATCATAGTGATGCTTTAATAATGGAGGTAGATCACCCTGGATGACTAAAGAAGCACCAAGCTCGTTAGAGAAAACCATAGACCAGAATGTCTGCATAGGGACCTGGCTGTCAATTGGGACATGCATTTTTACATACATCTGACATGCATGATGTTCCAAGACAGTGCTTATATTTAGAGGTTCCGATGGATGGCGAAACTTGCTCCTCTGACCATCTGTCAAAACTCGCCTTCTTCCCAACTCACATTCAGAAGGGAGATTGATGGATGCTTTTCCTGCTGCATCTTTGTTTGCCCCATCGTGGACTGTTAGGTCAGCACCCATTCAGCAGCCCTGCTAACAAGGTAGAGTGTAGACCAGCTATGCTACACAGACAGAGCAAATTTACACCGGAAGACCCACACCAGCCTTCATCTACTGTATACTTGGAGCTTCTTCCTAATAAGCTAGGCTTGCACTTAATTCATTCACTACTTTCCTGGATTTGCACAAGACATTGAACCAGAAATATCCAAATAGGCAGGGTTTGCACAAATTTCTAAACCCATCAAAGAACTAACCCTGGTTAACATTAATCAGACTCAATCTCTTGGGAGAGCACAGCTGTTCGGCTGTTAACTAACTTGGCTGAGTTCATTGTGCAAATGCAACTGCAAGGTTGTTAGCTAACCTGATTAAATGTGCTGTGGGAAGCCTGCAATTATGTTGTCGTTTCTCCTATTTATTTTGCTGCTTACACAACTACATCTTATCATCTGTGCAATTCAGTTCAGCTCGGTGATTTATTGCAAAGAGTCTGCTTCAGCTTCATTCTCACTAGTATGCAGATGACAGCTGGATGTGCTCCAGCTTTTATGTTCTCTCCCTGCAATCTAAGCCTCCTTCTATTCCCTTTTCCAACAACCGACCAACTCATCTGTAGTGCTGAGAATGTGCACATCTGTGTGCATCTTCCTTTTTTTTTTTTTTTTTAAAAAAGCACCTTTAATCTTGACATTCTGGAAAATACAAAATACTCCAAGGATACTATATTCCTTTTTGAGTTTTTTTAAGATAGATGGTGGCAGCAATAATTGCCAAGTGGCTACACCAAGGCAGAAAGACAGGCCCAGCTGGGGAGATGAGTGATATTCTGGAAGAGGAGGTCTGAAAACTCCTGTCTTAGGAGCTCAGCTGTGCTTCCACTAGGAGTTAACAAAACTACTTAAATGATGCATGCAACATCTGTATGAAATATTTCTGCACATGTTTGGAACAGGGACAATAACTATCATTGCTGGCACAAAGCCACAGCCCCCAAATCTTTACCTTATTGTTTTTCATGAACAACTAAGAACCTTCATCCATCCATCCATCCATCCATCCATCCATCCATCCATCCATCCATCCATCCATCCATCCATC